TGAAAGTGATTGTGTTGTTAGAGCACAGAGGATCTTGGAGGACAATGCTGGGGTAACTTCATATCTACTTGAAGAAAGCAGATTTTCAAAAAGCTGGGAGATAATAGGTTAGCACCCCATTGTCTGAGGATCTAAAAGGGAATTAAATGTTACTGCCTGGAATGTCTTCCCTTCATTTTGTTCATTGCCTGATAAATCCCTAAATGTCCATTAAAATTCCCATCTAGCTTCGAAACGAAGTCTTTGTAATAACATTCCCTAGTTGGTAAGAACTATGCTTTGTATTTGCCAACATATTAACATAAAGTTATCTGTGGTTGTGTCATCCCTCCAGAAGTCACTGACCAGACCCTGTCTACACTTCATAGTTACTAGGGCTGCCTAGAGCTCTTAACCTCTTGCTTCCTATTTGTTGTATTTAATCCAACTCATGAGACAGACGAGATTCTCAAGAAAGATTTTGATAATGAAAGTGACTGAGAGTTGGAAGAATAGGGCCTGGAGCAGAGGAAGTGGCTAATGAAACCAAGGTGACACTATGGGGAAAATCTGCAGGGCAGAGGTTTCAAAAAGGAACTTTCAGAAAGTAAAGGAGCCCAACACCAAGAATGAGAGAAATCCTGTAAATCCTGTAGTCAAGAAGACTAATACTTGGTATGAACCAAGGCTTGTGAAAAATGTTATGGACAATAATGCGGATTTTTTAAAGTTTTGTTACAATGGAGGTTTGGATGGGATGGGAAAATGGTAATGGATCATGAACAAGGAGAACTACTGAACTGTTATTTGGCTTCTGTCTTTTCTATCAAAGAGAAGTATCCTAAAACTTGGCAGGACAGAGCAGAAGAGAGGTGAGAGACAAATGAAAATCAAGCTAAGTGAAGAAATGACAGTAAGGTAACTCCTAGCCCTCTTCTATGAGTTCTAATCACCTGTTCCTAACAATTGCACGCCAGGATCCTTGAAACAGAGCTTATGCATAGAACTGTTGAAGCACTGATAACAATCTTTTGCCAAGCCATGGAGAATAGGAGAAGGATGCCAGGACTGAAGAATTTCATGTGGTTTTTCAAAACATGGATTCCTGAGAAATGTCAGGACAGTGAACCTGACATTCCAGTCAAAATCCTAGGAAGGGCTAATAAAAGGATGATTTGTGAGCACTCAGAAAGAGGAACATTAGCAAGTGTGGGTTTGTCAATAAAGTTACTCCAGGCCAACCTAAATTCCTTTTTTGACAGGGTTATGAGTAGACCACATGCCACAGACACAGTCTTGCTAGATTGCAGCAAGGCATATGACAAAGACTCTTATGATATCCCTGTGGACAGGATAGAGAGATTCAACTAGCTGGATGCGGAACTAACTGGTTGCCTGATTCAAAGAGTAGGATTAATATTTTTATCTAAGACTTGAAGACAGATGGTATGTCGATCAAATATGTTAATGACAGTTAAGTGATTTAGGCCGCATTAATCAAAGCAGTGATCATAATGAGGAAAGGGGAAGTTTCCACTATAATCCATCCAGTTCAGATCTTATCTCAAAGTGTCAGGTTTGGGATATCATATTTTAGAAGGGACATTAACATCCTGGAACACATCCAGAAGAGGATAATCAAGATGGTAAAAGCACTTAAAACCATGCCATGAGGATTGGTTAAAGGAATCGGAGATGTTCATCCCAGAGCTGAGAAGACACAGAGGGGTCAGGACCATAGTTTTCAAATACCAGCGGGTTTGTCATGAGGGTCATTCTGACCACAGTGAGCAGAAAGAGGACCAGTTGTGTGGGTCCTACACAGAGTTATGATTGCAGATTAACGTAAAGAAACAACTTCATAACAAAGTAAGCCTGAAATGGAATATAGTCTGCCTGGGAAAAGTAACATATTTTCTGACTTTAAATATCCAACCTCTGTTTCAAGTTTCCCATTTATCAGCCCAACCTTAAGTTAGGCATCAATGAGATGTCTCCTAAGGTCCCCTCACACCCTAACCCTATTAATTCCATTATTTCTGAGCACTCTCTTGACTAGGTTCTAGTGTGCTTCCAAGATCTTAAGAATATGTCAAGGAAGGGTATAAGTCAGTTATTTGGGACTAATATAACTTGAGAACACAATGCTTAAAAAAGAAAATGGGAGAGGCAGAGCATTCCTGATTCAAAAGACTCATTCCTGCCCAATTTCTTTGTAATTTTCTAGTAATGACAATGTCATGGCTTTAACCTGGCAGTAGCATATAGGAAGAAATGGGGAAGAGATAGTGTGAAACTTCACTGAAATGATGAATAGAACCTTTTTGTTTTTTTACTAAACATAATAACATGACTGTAGTCAACAAAGTCTGATATCTTCTTACATTTTAATCTGTTAGAAGTATTCATTTTAGGTCACTTGTTCCTTTCCAGATGATGAGTTTTCTTCTGCTTTTGTACACTTTGAGTAAGTAGGAACATCCAAATGAAGGCTAAAGCAGGAAGAGTAGCACGGTTGAGAGAAGAAGGATGAAAGGAGGGTGAAGTTCTACTGGGCCAACTTTTTCCAGAAGTCATTCAGCAATCATTTATTGAGCACCTACTACATTCCAGGCACTGTGCTGAGTACTGAGATAAAATGTGAAAAAAGAAATGTGTCCCTATACTCCAGGAGGGATATTTTACTATAAGGAAAACAACACATAATAGAAAATACAGATGGAATAAATACAAAGAAAACAAACAACCTTGAAGAAGATCAGAAAAGATAATAGAAGTTCATGCTGAGTGAAGAAAGCTAGGTGGAGGTGAGAAGGGAATACATTTCAGACGTGCGGGCAGAGGCACAAAAGTGAAAAACGGAACAAGGTATGTGGGGTACTGCAAGTCACACAGTTTGTCTGGAACCATCAGCAAAGGAGATGAGGTATACAGGGTACAGCAAGTCAACAGCAAATGAGATGGATAATGTGAAATCAGCTGAAAATACAGTTTCAACCTGAATTGTGAAGGGACCGAACCACGTAGAGACACCATCAGTAATCTAAGATTCTTGAATAAGGGAATGACATGGTCAGGCTGGTCTCTAAATAGAAGTGTTGAAGATACATTGCTTAGGGAAGAAACTAGGGGCTCAGTAAGTAGGCTGCCACAATGATCCAAGTTAATCAGGGTGGTGGCTGTTTGAACAGAGAGAAGGGCAGAGATGTGAGAAGTGTTGTGGACACAGAATCAATAGCACTGGGTAACTGATTGGATGTGAATGGGGAGTGAGGGAGAGTGAAGTCAAGGATGATTCCAAGTTTGTGAGTCTGAGTGACCAAATGGACTGCAGTATCCTCAACAGAGTGGGGTTCACTAGGAAGATAATAAAGTCTTATTTTGGACATATCGAGTTTGGAATATCTATGGGATATCAAGGTAGTGATATTTAGGAGGAAGATGGTGATGTGGGACAGGAATGAAGGACATGAGGCTAGAAATGTGGATTTACCCCTAGGATGACAACTGAATTTCACTGGAGTTTAATATAATCTAGAGAGATGGAAGTTCTAGGCTAGACCCCCTCCCCTCCCAAGAGGACAGAACATAGAAGGCCATGCAACAAAGGAAACTGACAACAGAGGAAGAGTTAGACGTGGAGGAGAGCATTATTTTGAAAACTCACTGAAGAATGAGTATCCAAGAGGAGGGGGTGGTCAACAGCGTCAAATGAGAAGCCTAGAAAGAGGCCTGAGAAAAGGCCGTTGGATTTAGCAATGAAAGAGATTAACGGTAATTCTGGAGAGAAGAGTTTGTAAACTTGCCGGCTTAAGATTGCAAGAGGCTGGGAAGTATGATGTAAGGAAGAGGAAGCTTTTCTAGGATTTTTTGAGTGAAAGGTAGGAATGATATCAAACAATAGGTTGAGGAGACGTCACAGTAAAGTGAAGATTTATTTTTAAGCATCGAGGAGATCTAACCATGTTTGTGGGCCCTACGGAAGAAGCCAGAGGATGAAGACTTAAGATTAGGAAGAGAAAGGCGATACTGAAGGGGTAATTTCCCAGAGAAATTGAAGTCGTTAGGCTCAGAGCACAAGTATCCGGGTTGGTGTTGGCAGAGAGAAAAAGCATCTTTTCCTCAGAAACTGCAGCAAAAGAACAGACAACAGGCAGATTACTGAGGCAATCTGAGGTGTAGAATAGGAGAAAAGAGGGTGTTTGTAACAGAGAGCCTCAGTTTATCTGGTAAATTATAAACAATGGAGAGGGAGTAGTTTCAGATGATTTGAGGAGAGAAGAGAATGTTTGGGACAAATACTGTGGGGAATGTAATAGGTATTCAAACAGGGAAAGAATAAAATAATGTATGAAAATAATAAATACTGTAATCTCTTCAATAAAGTTATTTTCTGAAATGATGAAAGATGAGCAATGTCTTATACAGCTAATAATTTACTTCTTAAAGGAAACAAGAATCACTAAGTGATAAACAGTCAAAGGACATAAAGAGGAAGTTTTCCAAGCTAACAATAACCATATTTTTGAAATGGTTCAAAATCATTAATAAGTAGAGAAATGGAAATTAAAGTAACTCTAAGGTTCCGTGTTGCACCCATCAGATGGGCAAAGTTGACAAAAACAAAAATGTTGGAGGGGTTGTGGGAAAATAGGTAAACACTGTTGGTGAACACTACCACCCATGCTGGAAAGCAATTAGAACTGTGCCCCTAAAATGACTAAAATGCCTACCACATTCTTACACCACTACTATTCCCCTAAAAGATCAAATAAAGAGGATCAACACTCATACACACAAAAATATTTATAAAAGCAAGTAGAAAAGGAAAAACAAACTATTTGACAAAACACTTGCAAAGTGTCTAAGTTCTTGTCAAAATACTGATATTCAAAACTGGAGAACAGAAATGTGCCGTTTTCCACTGTCCTTCTCCTTCATACTCTTTAGTAAAGCACTCAGTATCCATGTAATAAAGGTAACGCTACATTTTAAATAATTTTGGGGGTCAGTTCACTTACGTGCATTATTCCCTTCTGGAGGCTGGTAAAAAGAAAGGCCCAATGATACTATGGCTGCAATTTCTAATATAATTAATGTAACATCTTGTAATGCTTCCCATACTAATTGAAGAAATGTTTTTGGCTTTTTAGGAGGTATAAAGTTCTTCCCAAACACTGCTTCCCTCCTCTCTATATCTGCAGGATTTCCGCTTAAACCTGTTAAAAAAAGAGAAGCAAACATGTATGTTAACAGTTGTGGTATTTGCTAATTTAAAAAAATTAATTTCATTTCTACCACCTGTACCTCCTCAAATTCAAATTTATAAGGCTCTATTAAAATTACCTGTTAATAACAGACCAAAGCAACAGTCATATCAATATCTGTAAGGAAAATTTTGACTATATGATTTAAGAAAACTAAATATGGGCTTTTAGTTCAGAATGAGTTTCAGTATTATTTTCTTTTCTACTCTCTATATTTTTCTGTACTGTAAGTAGTGGAGTCTAGTGGATAAATGGTGGCCTTGGAGTCAGGAAGACTTTTATTTAAATCTTCTCTCTCACACTAGCTGTGTTATAGGAGACAAGCTAGTTAACTTCTCAGGTTACTAAAGCAACTAAGACTGTTGCAGCTAAGTTACAGATGAATTAGAGATCTGTATTAATGCAAGGAGTTACCCCACCAGGAGTTGTCCACACCATTGGAATCACGTCTGTACCAAAAACAGAAAGAAAAAGAAATTATCCAAGTAAAATCAACATAGCATATACTAGATAAAGTGCCAGATGGAGTCGAGAATACCTACATTCAAATCCTCTGACACTGGCTATGTGGCCCTGGGCACATCTCTAAACCTCAGTGCCCCAGGAACTCCCTAGGATTTATTCCCTACATCAAACCTAATAAGCCCTTTCTGCCTGTCAGTCACTGCATTTGGCTCACTGCTGCTTAGTCTAGGGGCCGGAGAAGCACTACAGAACCAGGCAATCATTCACTTAGGGGCAATTAAGAGGCAGACAAAAATCTAAAGATGGGAGTGAGAGTCCAAGGCTGAAGCTTAGAATGCAGGATTGTTCTTCATGAACCAGTGGCAGACAACCAGCTCTCTCTGATTTAGCACGCAGTCTGACTTAACAAGGAAAATGAGCATTCCTCTTAAAGGAGTCTTCGTTGGCCACGTGGTTTCTGTATTATCATTGCTGTTTTTGATCTTGTCATTATTAGCAGTAATTATTAATTAGCATAGTATTAATAACAGTATAATGCATATAATATTGATAATCAGTATAATAACTTGTATCAATTAATATGGTATAAATCAATAATAATCACAAAGGTAGAGAATTACTTACTGAAAGGCATTTGTGGATATGGTAAACTAGGAAAAAGATACATGGAGAGACAGACCTGTGAGCAAGAATTTATGCCAGGAGTAAAAGAAGAAAGAAGGGATCAGATACCACCCAAGGCTGGAAATATACAGAGGCAAGAGTTGGCAGTTTACTCTTTAAAAAGCAAAGGCAATTAAGCTAACATGAAGGTACATGACAGTTGAGGGACTTAACCAAAAGGGAAACTGCTGTATTTAAGAAAATTCTAAGAAAATTACACTAACTGTAAATTGTACAAGAGAGTAAAAAAGAATAGTTAGTTACTACCAAACAAATAGCTACAGTTGAATGGCACTAAAAAGGATTCAAGGGCTTCTAAAAATTATATGAGTGAGGACCTCTTCAGTGTACTTTAGGTCCTAAAAAATGTGAAACCACTGGCAAGGACTGGAAGGAATAGTCATGATTATAGGGAAAGAATAGGAAGAAAGTAGCTACAGACGAGTGTTAAAAATTCATGAATAGCAGATTGCTAACAAAAAGGTTGACCAAACTAGGGTCTGAACTTAACAAAGTCAATAATTTTAAGAGCCAAATTCTCCCACACTCTGAGTTAACAGAATAAAGCATGTTAAATATTGTGTGGACAAGCGATTAGCAACACTAATGTTTGTATTAATAGAATTGATTAAGACTTACAAAATTGACTACTGGTAATATGTACAAAACATAAAAAATGGTGCTCACTGTTAGGTAGATGGTTGGCTATCTACAAAATGAAGGATTGAAACCCAGCAAGAAGAAATAAAAAGAGAAATTCCATTCAAAATAACTACAGAATGCATAAAATATATATATATATACATATGTATATTTTTTGGGGGGATGTCCTATCTACTAAGATACACCAAGGAACTCATTACACGGAACTACGAAACACTTTTTAGAAATAAAGACAGAACTAAGTAATGGGAGAAATAGTAATTGCTAGGCCATGCCAATACGAGAAAGACAATTCTAACTAAGTTAACTTATTTATGCCATACCAATCTAATTGCCAAAGGATTATGTTAGAGGGCTAGCAAAAAATAACAAAATTCAACTATAGGAACAAAAGATTAAGAATATCAAGGAATATGGGGGAAAAAGGTGGGAAAGAAAGAGATCTAGGGGTACCAGATCTCAAACAATATTACAAAACTATTTGACACCAGTCAAAAAACAAAGAAATACATCAGTGGAAGTGACACACTATAAAAAAGCTAAAAGGAAAAACAGTAGCATAATTTTTAATAAACCCAAAGATAACCCTATTGGGGGCAAACATCACCTCTTCAGAGGCAGCTACCTAGTGAAGTGGACAGAATACAAAGTCCAGAATACCCAAGTTAAAATGCTTCCTTACACCCTTACTAGCTATGTGACCCTGGGCAAGTCACTCTTAGTGAGCTCTCTTAGTCTCCATTTCCTCTGTAAAATGGGGAAAATAATAGCACCTACTTCATAGTATTTTTACGAGGATCAAATGAGGTAACCTACGTAAAATACTTTGCAAATCTTAAAGTCCTATATAAATGCTAGCAATTACTACTTTTATTATCATTTGACCATTGCTAGGAAAACTGGAAAGCAGTTTAACATAAATTAGAGATCAAAATCTCACAACAAAATAAATTCCAAATGGATACATAAATTAAACATAAAGGAATACAAAATACACATAGAGGGGGCAATTAAAAAAAAAAAACTTTTGCCACTATGGAAGGGAAGAGTTCATGCCAAATAATGGATAGAGTGGATCTCAGAAGATAAAGTAGACAATTCTAATTATATAAAATTTAAAAGGTTACACAAAACCAAGACAGTTATAATTAGAACGAAAAAAGAAAATTAGGGAGGAAAATTTTGTAGTAAACTTCTTTGATAAAGATTTCATTTCTAAGATTTATATGTATGCACGCATGCATACATAAGAATCTGGGGGGGGCAGGCGGAGGAGGGAGGGAGGCAGGCAGAGCCACCTGCCTCAAGTTTCTACCCACTCCAGTCATTCCTCCATTCAGCTATCAAAGTGATCACCACCTCTTTACTCAATAAACACCAGCGGCTCCCTATTGCCTTCAAGATCAAATACAACATACTCTGTCTGGCCATTCAAAGCTCTTCAAAACCTGGATGCTGCTTACCTTTCCAGTCTTCTTATCACCTTATTCCTGGACACATCTTCAATCCCATGACACTGGCCTGCTGGTTATTCCACAAACAAGACACTCCATCTCTTAGCTCCAGGCATTTTCTCTAACTGCTCTCTGCCCCCCTCCCCATGCTTGGAAAGCTCTCCTTCCTCATTCCCACAACTGGTTTACCAGGCCTCCTTTAAGTCCCAACTCTACAAGAAGCCTTTCCCAACCCTTCTGAATTCTAGATCCTGCCTTTCTCGTAATTACTTCCTATTTATCCTATGTATAGGTTAATTAATGTCTGAACATATTTGTGGTCTCCCACAGCAGACTGTGAGCTCCTTGAGGGAAGGCACTGTTGTTTGTCTTTCTTTGTACCACCACTGCTAAGCACAATGCCTGGCATGTAGTGGGTGCTTAATAAATGTTTACTGACAGCGTATATCCCAAAGAGATCAAATAAAGAGGAAAAGGCTCTATTTTCACAAAAATATTTACAGCAACTCTTTTTGTAGTGGCAAAAATGAAAAACTAAGAGGGTGTGTCCATTTGGTGGAGGATGGCTGAATAAATTATGAATATATGAATGTACCAAAAAAAAAAAAATGAAAGGAACAATTTCAGGGAAACCTGGGGAAACCAGTATGAACTAAAAAAGTTTTTCTCTTAATTCTGAAACCTGCTCTTCTAAAATCATGAGTTCTTGTTAGGCTATGCCTTCTCTCATTAAAAATCCTAAGGTATAATAATGGTCATGGTCCATGATTTCTGATAGTTAGCATTTACAGAGAGCTTTAAGGGTTTGTGAAGCACTTTGTATGTTAACTTATCTGATTCTCCCACAATAACCCTATGAGGTAGGTAATAGTACTTTAAAGATGGGGAAACTGAGGTGAGGAGAGGTTAAGTGGCTTGCTCCAAAGTGAGGTATTTGAACTCACGTCTTCCTGAAAGGCCTGGCAGATGGGACTCTTGAGCCACCAGTGGTCCTTGGAAGTTCAAGGAAGACTAGGAGAGGTAGAGATGACTGGGGAGGGCCAGCTGTTCTGACTACCCCCTCAGCCTGCCGCCCTCCCTGATGGAGGAGAATGGAATTCTCAAACAAGTCAGTGAACGTGATTAAGGTGACTGTAACCTTTGATTAAAATCCAGAATATGCCAATAAGGGTCACTCAGTCAGCATTTATTAAACATCTTTTTGGCTGTACCAGGCACTGTGCACATGGGGATATAAAGAACAGCAACACCAGCCCCTCATGTCCACAAAACGCCAAAAATGTGTATATATAACATACATACAGTGTCAATGGAAGCTAATGTCAGAGGGAAGGCACCAGGGTGGGTTGTGGAGGAGGGTCAGGAGATGGCAGGAGTCTAAGGCAGAAAGTCAGATGTGAGCAGTCCTGAAGGAAGTTAGAGGTAAGGAGAGAAAAGCATTCTGGACAGGGAGAAGCCAGTGAATAGGCATAAATTCAGGAGATGGAATCCTGTGCAAGGACCCCAAGTAGGCCAGGTTAGCCTAGGAGGCAGTGAAGTGTAAGAAGATGGGAAAGGTAGAAAGGGGCTGTGTACTGAAGGGTTTTAATTGTCCAACCAAGGATTTTATAGTCGATACTAAAGGTAATAGGGAGCCACAGGAGTTTAGGAGGGTTAACGTGATCAGACCAGAGCTGCATTTTAGGACAGGATGAAGGGAGGCACCTG